ATTAAAAAAGATCCATTCTTACAGATCATTAACTAAAAAAAGTTGGTTTAGGGTTTAGTTACTCTTCAAAGCTAATTTTTAAAATATTGAAGCTCCAGTCCTCATTCATCGTAATTGCATGGAAAAGAGTGACAAGGAAGCTCTTCAAAACTTCACCTTTTGTGTTCTACAGAGGAAAGTTTTAAGAGCCGAAACAGAGCCAATCAAAACATACTGGTCCAACGTCTTGCTTGACATTTTTTTTTACATTACAGTGTGGGTGGGGCTACCCAACGAATAAAAACGTCACAAAGCATGGAAAGAATCTATGCAAACTAAAATAGCCGTAAAAAGGTTTGGTTGTAGTTAAGGAGGATATGTAAAAAGAGTGGACATTAAGGATACATAGTCGTCACTGATATCGTAATGGCATAAAATACGTCACTGATATCGTAACGGCATAAAATAGTAAAGCTAATATGAGGATTTGCAATGCGGAGAAGATAAGGATGTTTCAATTGTTTTGTTTCATTATCTGGCTGAATAAAGTGTGAGAAAGAAGCACCCATTCGATAATAACTTCTATGAAAAACAGCAGTTCCTTTGAACTCATTGTTCGCGAGACATCCGGCTGACCTTTCCTCTTAGCCTTTATCAGGGTGGCCATGAGGGAAATGACAGCGCTTCAGTACGTCCAGCGCATTTCATAGCAGTGATATGCCAAGCACACTAAAAATAGTGACAAAAAAAGATTTTTTTTTAATTATCTTCATGTCTTTTTCATGTGACATTGACCTCCTATGCCCAGCAACCCTGTTAATTCACAATATTATTTCATATAACGCCTACAAGCATTATTCTACCATTGTAAACATATTGTTGTTTCATTTCTGAGATCGAAACTGCTGTTAAATGTAAACAGATTATGAAACTATTCTTCCCCAGTCGCCCTTCAATCGATGCAATTTCTCCACAGAAGAGAAATTATCTCCCAATAAGCCGCAGATATTAAAGATCATTATACTAAGCTTTCTGTACACAGTAGCTCTATAAATACTAAAGCGACTGCATTGTTGTGCAGTTTGTGCCGAGGGCTGTGGAGAGGACAGATGCGGAGCTTGTCTTATCGGCACAAAGACTCACTTCAGGATGGACTAACTGGAAATGGGCCAATCGATGGAGTTCTGCCTTGAGCTTGTGGACAATAACACAGCTGAAAAATAACGGCAGCCCTCCCTTTTCTCTGTCTTTTCCAAAATATTGCTGCTATAAACAATGGTGATGTAATTAATTATTTTGTCACTCATTCCAAGTGGAAATTGTAAACATTCATCTATGAGAACAGAGATATGACTTTCATAATGTGAGATGTAAAAATAGTGTGTGATAGGTCATCCCTTCGTAACAGCATTATGGTGATCGTGTTCAGATACAGTGAACAGGGGGCGCTCAATGCTGTAATAAAGACATGAACAGTCCCTTTGCGGGAAGAACCTTTCTTCTTAGTACACTACAAGCTTTTGGTAATTACCAGAGTGCCAGAGAGCATATGAATAAATTCATGAGCTCTGACTCAGGTAATTAACTCATTGTTTAGTAATTAGAGATCAGGAGAGAGAGAAAAGGAGAATGAAAGAAAGCAGAGAATGTTTGTTTGAGATTTAAAAAAAAAGAAATCAGGAAGGATAAGTGGATGACAACAAAGTACCAAAGTATCAAAGTCAATACTAACATACTGCAAAAAAATGTAAATTATAAATCATATACATTTTAATTATACATACAGCATAAAAATAAATAATAATATCCATTTTAAATAAAAGTAAATCCTCATGGTTTACACAAAAGCTTTCTGAAGCATCATGTGACACTGAAGACTTGAGTAAAGATTTTAAATAAATTAGATTTTACATAATATTAAAATATTAAATTTTGTAATAATGTCAAAATATTACAGTTTTTTAGCAAATAAATGTATCCTGAGCATTTTTTTCAAAATTATTGAAAAATCATTTAATTTAATTGAATATTAGTATATAATATGCATTCTATGCAGTGAGCTTTTATTGCTCACTATTGCTCACTATAGATAATAGACATTATCTAAACAATGGTATAAACCCCAAAAATTGGAAAGAAATATTGATTTGATTTTCATTTATTTTATTATGTGAGAAATAAGTGACTGTGGAGTGAACTACAGACACAACATACAGTTACGTAGCAAAGCAATTTAGTGGTCATTATTCAAGTACATTTAACCACAAAAGGCCAATTTTTCACTCTATTAACTTGTGGCAAGAATTATCTCCACACATTCCTCGCTCATACTCTGGTACTCAGTGGTACTCATGTACAAATTTTACTTTCCAACTGGAGACTGAAAAAAAAGGTTGAGAGACGTGAAGGACACCGAAATGAAGGGGAAAAGAGAGAATGAGTAGATTTACATTTCGACCAATGAGGGGGAACCGGAGTAGAAAATGAGGGAGTGTGAAATGACACCAGACGCAGAGAAAGATTCCTGTCAGAACTCAAAGCTGAACAGACACTCCTGACGGGTTTATCCACGCACCACTGGGCCTGACTACAGCTCAACCAGCATCAGATCCCGTCCCCAAAGACACACTACACGCAAACACACAGCCAATCCCACAGAAACGTCATCTTGCACCACATATCACATTCAGTCTATATGTGCACTAACACGCTATGACAGGCTGGAAGCTTCTTTCTTTCCAAACAGAAGCTCGTAGTCAGAATGGGAAGTGAAATTAGTTCCACAACAGAAGTCTTATGGTGCTGAGAGGGAATACACTTTTTGATGAGGAAAAGGTGGGTCTAAATGTTTAATAACGTGACTACCACATTTCTACACATTTCTGGTGCTGCATGATTTAAGGTAGGGTAGGCAATAGCGATCGAGCCAACTTTGAAAGTATAAGATCCCACCATCCCTACACAGCAGGGAGCAAACAAAAGCATTAAACTACCTCATGTCTCAAAGCACATAACGTTACAATAATAATGAACACAAACAACTTAAAGAGCACTGACGATACCACCTGATTTCTGCAGATTCATTTTGCCGTTGATAGTGTTTCGAATCAAGAACCGCTTCCGAAAATGATGTGTATACATATAAATACAGTACATTTAGACCAAATAACTTAGTGATTGCTATCTGCGTGATTGCGTTTCTGGAACAAATCACCAACCTTGCCTTTAATGGAAATAAAACCTTGCCTTGGACTCAATTGTTTTTGATTTTTAATTAAATAAATATATGTTAGTGAAGAACGGCTCTGTGATGATCAGTATACTCCATGTCTGAAAGCACTGCGAGTTTAAATCACTTAGGCCTATAATGTTCCTTTGAAAAAGCAAACATCTTCCCAAACTTGTAATATGAAGCATTTATAAACCTGTTGTCTAACAAAAGACATTTAATAACGTTTTTACTCCAAACTCACTTCATAACGTCAGTTGAGTGTTTGAAATAACTTCCTTTTGTGAGCTGTCTCCAAAATGTCTCCAAAAAAGTCTCATCGTCCATTTTGTCTACTTGTCATTTTTTCTGTCTACTCAATGAAAGTCAATGAGGTCAAGTGTTGCTTTTGAAAATATCTCATTTTGTGTTCCGCAGAAGAAAGTCATAGGGGTTTGGAATAACATGAATTGTTTTTTTTATATTTGGGGGGAAATATCCCTCTAAGATGGAAATAAACATGAAGGCATAGACTGAAAATCAGTGAACAAAAGGACAACAAAACACTATGTGATCACAACAAAAGAAAACTGGAGGTAAAACAAATGGCAAACAATTGAGAGGACTTTAAAAAAGAGGAAGTCCAGTGTTGAGTCATCAAGTGAAAGAGAGATAACAAGTAAATGATCGATGTGTGGAGAAAGAAGAAGAGAAACATAGACACTTACTACATTTTCACGCAGCTGTGTGATGAGGCTGACCTCACGTCAACTGTCTTCACACACAACCACTACTGAAAAAAGGACTGAAAATATTCCACATTTTTTCCAGTAATCGCATCTGACAGAAAGCCCTACAGGCAGAAGAAAACACAACCGAACAGCCATAAATTGGAAACGGTTTTTAGTTTTATTTTCGGCCAACTCCTCTCTCTACTCCGGACTTGCACACAGACTGCACTGCAACCATTTCCCAAAAATGTAATTTGTGTGGAAATATAACAAAGTCTGACTCTGTAAACAGGACTTTAACACAGGCCAGAGTGTGGGTGTCTTATGTAGCATAATTTCACAAATCTAAAGTCAGACCATTCTGTTTTTGCTTTAAATCTTGAAATTATACAATCTAATTCACTGTAAAAAAAAAAAATATTTTCATGATTTGTAAATCAACATTTTTTCTTTTGTCAAATCAACTTAGATAATTTATGTAGTTCAGATAACATAATATTTTGAGTTTCATTCTGGTGATTAAATTATTCTCCTTCATTGTATTAACTCGATTTTTCCATTTCAATGAACTTTAAATTTTAAGGCAACCAGGTTACTTTTTTTTTTTAAGTTAAACCAACAATATTTTTTACAGTGTTCGAGACTTGTTTGATTTAGTCCTCAGATGTAATTCGCTTTGGAAAAAAAGTGTCTGCTAAATGACTAAATGTAAAACAAAATCATCTTTGTTTGACTCATGATTCAAATTAAGTGGTTGCCTCCAATTTCAAATGGCTACAGATATTTTTTTGTTTAAGGTCAGTTTGGCCTGTTAAAGAGCGGCAACTGTCAGAATCGGCCATTTTGCTTGTAAAAAGAAGCAGAATCGACCTTGAAAAATCATGATGGAACATCACTACACAAGTCTCTCTTTCATAAGAGGTCTATTAGAGGTTAATCTATTAGAGGTCTATTATTATTTCATAAGAGGTACAGTACATGTGTTTTGAAGTTGGAAGTAAAAAAGCTTGACCTAAGAAAGTATGAGCCTTGTGCACAAGCCAATCTAGAAACGTTCAACTGAAAGTAAACTGCTGTCTTACCCAATCTGGAGGTTACAGGTGGATCTTGAGCAGGTAGAATGTTCCGATGTTCAATCGGAGAGAAGGGTCCAGCTGAAAGCACTGTGATGGGGATGAGTAAATCTCTCCTCCTGCTGTCTGAGGGGACGGCTCGTGATTCCCACTCTGTCTGTCCACGTCTGTCTGGCTCCAACTACCCTCACCATTCCCTGCCACATTCAAAGACAAAGAGCTTTACACTTCAGCAATGAGCTCCAAGCAGCTGTTGTGATATATTACATTATTTTGTACTGCTAGACTGTATATTTGATCATGATTGGTACTGTTTTAACCAATCAACAACCAGAATTGAAACCTGTGTTATATAATTTAGCTTCTATCATTTTAGAAATGTATTAAATTTGTAGATATAGATTTATATCTATCATTTATTAAAATAAATGTGTTCTGAAATCCTCTTGCAATGCTACTGTCACTCCTCTTGAATATGTAACCAAGGTAACAAGAGACTAGTTGAGAATGTACAGTACTTTAAATAGTTTTAGCCTATTAAAGCCTTAGGTTTGGGATTTACTATCAGACTAAAACTATCCATCAAAAATAAAATAAAAAGATTAATTAAGGATGGATGGATGCTTTATTAATCCTGAAGGTTATTCAAGGCATCCAGCAGCTTATTCAACAAAAATAGACTAGTACACACACAATAAAAAATATAACTAATATACAGTAATTGATAATAACAATCTATATATATATATGGGTGAGTAAGATTTTTTTTAAAGAAATTATTACTTTTTCAGCAAGGATGCATTAAATTGATAAAAAGTGACAGTAAAGATATAGTTACAAAAGATTTCCATTTCACATAAATAGCAGGGGAAACTACATTTTCCCTTCCTTTCATAAAAGTATACTGAAAAGTATTACAGTATCCACAAAACTGTTCTCAACATTAATAATAATAATAATAATAAATGTTTATTTAGAACTAAATCAGAACATTAGAATTATTTATGAAGGATCATGTGACACTGAAGACTGGAGTAAAGATGCTGAAAATGTAGCTTCGCCATCACTGGAATAAATTACATTAAAAAAAAATACCAGAGTACCGACCCAAACATTGGATCTAATACATATATGATACATTAACATTTATCTGATTTCATTCCAATAATACAGTCGTTCATCAGTAAGTGCACATTCCTCTAAGGAAAGACATTTTTTTAGCCATAATTTTTTTTTTTTTTTTCTTAAACCGCCCGACCTCTGTCCAGTTTAATGGTTCATTCCAGGGCTGAGCGGTATGAGGAGAAGCTGTTTAATCAGAATCACTCTCCGGGTCTCTGAAGCTCCTAGGGGAGACCGCATTCACAAAACAAACATTGGACACTATTTATAGATGCCTGTCGACATGGCAACCACTCTTTGTTTGTTTGAATCAGAATCAGAAACTATTTCTCCTTTTTTTTCCCCCTCAAATGTTTCGCTTCTTGCTTCAAAGCAGACGCTGAGACTTAAGACACTCAGATGTCTCATTTGGCTCTGGTATGTTTCTCCAAAACAAGAGGCAGCAGGGTGGAGGGTATGCTCTGGCAGGACGATAAGAGTCCATTTGTGCTTTTGTGTACAAGCATGTGCTCTTAAATATTGCTGTGTCAAATCTATTCCGAGTAAACCACAAGTTAATCTTGTTTAGATGCCATAACCTATGGCACCACATCCAGTTTTTACACGTGTAAAGGAGTCACAAGCTGTTTACATCAGTCTAAGCCAGATTGGTTAAAATTGTTTTTGAAAAACTGGAGGTCAGTTTCACATCTGATTGAAAGAGCAACTTGTTGAGTAAAACAAACCCTAGTTGCGAGGTTTTTGTACAGTGCATTAAGGTTGCAGAACTGAAAACACTATTCATTTAAATTCATTTTCTCCATAGAGAAATCGATTTTTAACATACCCCAATATAAAAGTCATTTCAAGACTCTGAATGACTTCTAACTCCGATAAAAGCATAAGCAACTGACATTACAGTACCTGTACAATCTAAAACAACTTATGTATTTCAATAAGTTGCAATAACCTTCAATTATATTGTGGTTTATATGGCATAATTAGTAGTTGACTCCCTCAATGATGTGGTACATGGTTTAGAACTCGCTATTAAAGCTTAATTTGAAATTCCTATGGAGAAAATGAATGGGGAAAATCATTCTTGATGAGGTTTTGCTCTTTTTGTTGAAATCTTTACTGGAACCTTGAGTTCTGCTGCTACAACACTGAATTAAATTTTATGAATCAGACATGCATACAAACAGGAATACGTAGACACACGATTATACTCACATATAAACCATCTCCCTTCCTTGTCTTAGTAGCGCTGACTGAGTTTTGCTGACTACTCAAAAAGGGTGGAAAGAATACTAACGTCTGCCTGATGCCCTGCCCAATGTCAGACAGACACCTCCCACCTCTTTCTTCAAAAGGGTTACATACATTACACCACCTTGCATTACCGAATATCTTGGCTTTATTAAGTTGCTATTTAGAGAACTATTTTAGTTAGTCATTAGAGTACTAACAGTTAGTCATCTGATATGTCAAAACCTAATCACATCTCAGTCAAAATAAGATATAGGCTTACTGGCACACTGGTAGTTATGAAGTGACTAATATATCTAGATAGACACGTACATATACACATAGATACATACAAATTAACATTCATTGTTCATAATAAGGCTATTGTAATAATGTATTATAGACAAATATGAATTAATAGCCTAATAAAAATACATATTTATTAAAAAAAAAAAAAACTTTAACCAAGATAAATGCTATCTAGGATATCTAAATGCTAACATTTACCTTATACATTGTAAAAGAAAAGGTTATTTATTATTAGTTTATGATGCCTAATACTTAAACTAATGTTAATGGGCTGAACCGTATACTTTAAAGTTATTAATCTGCTTACCTAGCCAATCTTTACAAATTAAAATAAGACCACTTTTTAATGGCAACCAATTCTTGCTTTTAGAAAATACTTTTTTCAAAGAGTTAAATGCAGCTTAGAAACCGTATGAACTTTTTCTCTTCTTGTCAATAACAGTTTGTATTAATTTACATGTCAAACTGCATTTCTGCCTCTCTAGTATTTAACACAAATAAAAGCATCCTGCTTTCACAAAGAGCAGTCACTGTTTCTGTTTCCCAGAATGCAGCAGCTGAGAATGGCTGCAGTTTCTCTCTCATCTATCTGACCAGTTACAGAAGTGTAAAGGGTAAATAGCAGCTGACCACAAACAGTCAAATTTGTATCACTTGTATTTGTTCCTTTATGAAACAAGTCAAGATATTATAGTATTCACATGCTGCTAACAATGCTAAGTGATATGGCTTGATTTTGTTGGACATTAACTAAACCAAAACACAGTCTGCTTAACATGGAGTCAACAAACCCTGTTTTTAATATATAGCCTGTCTGTCTACTAGAATATGTATTTTATCTGCTGCTGATTGACACTTACTGTAAGTATACAACAGCATAAACTGCACTTCTGTCTCTCACAGGCCAACTCTCATTTCTGGAAATGAAATGGTTCACCCCCAAAAAACAAACATATATGCTACTATTATTCCACATTACTCTAAAGTAGGAGAACATAACACACAAAAGACAGATTGACGGGAGCTTTCATCTCTCACTAACAAAATGACCTTCACCACTCATATTTCTACTGCTATGGTGTGTGAGAGAGTGTGTGCTCCTGAGGGCTTTCAGTCTTTAAAAAATTCATAATGTCATAAGTTCATCTGCCCATTCACATTAGCAGCTGTGTTTAGATTACTAAAGAAAAGGTTAAAAATGTCTTAACCTCAACTTTCCCTCTCTTTCACACACGTTTGTTCCACTATATTAGTCAGGAAATCTCACAGACTTTGGTTTTATATCAGTATTTTACATTTTCTATGGACTAACCCGACCCCTTAAACATAAAACTCACAGAAACACTAGATTTAAATAAAAACATGACTTGGCCAATGTTTAACCCTTTTTAAAGAGGACCTATTATGCTTTTTTAAAATTTCTTTAGTGTGTAATGTTCTCCAAAGAGAGTTACTCTACATCAGTGCGCACTGTTTCTAAACTATGGAACGCCTCCAAATTAAATCTTGAGTTTTCTTCTGCGAATTCACATTACAATTATATGAGTTGCATTAGTAGTGTGTTGAAACTCGCGCTTATGGTAAGGGACGAGACATTCCCTAAACACACTTGAAGCGGTTGACCGATCAAAACACACTGGTCCAGCCGGCCAATCAGATCACATTGCGCTTTTCGGAAGAGGGACTGGAACTAAACAGAGCACTACAAACAGACTGTGAAGAGTAAAATATGTGCAGTCAGGCCCAATTGTTAGTGTTCAACAGGTTTCACCATTCCTGAGGACATTTTGGACCTCACAAGCATCGTCAAACCTGTCCACACGTACAATATACACACACAGTCTGTTTAATCACATGTTTGCCTGTGTTCCTTTGTTCTCGCCATCATCGGTTACCATGGATATTGATTTAATCATTACAGCTGTTCATTAGTTCGTTCAACATGTGTATTTAAGTTCCTCACCTTCACTCATTCTTTGTCCGGTATTGTTTGTGCATGGCACACTGGTTCAAGTTGTTGGCTTATGTTTAATAAAGACTGTCATTATTTGTACCTGTTGTAATCAAACCATTAAAGGCAGATGATACTGCAGAATGCGCTTATGATAAACAGAACAATATTTAATATGTTGGTGTGGATGCCAATATAGTTATTGTTATTGTGATTATTTTTGGTGTGAATCGGTTACTTCTTGCACCCCCTAGTATTAGTATTACCAATTATTATTCAGTCTTCAAAATCAACAACACAAATATGTGAATTTACTCCCATTTAACAAGTAGGTATAATTATTATTTTTGCCATCTTAATTGTATGGTTAGTTCAGTTGTATTATTTGCATTTAGCATTGTTGTTGTTTTTTTGTCTTGGATGTCTGCAACCCTATCAAAAAATAACTGCACTCATCGGAAATCACTAACTCTCATTGAAAATTAAAGACTTCGGGTTTCTCTGTCGCTACTAATCCCCTTCAATGTGAACGGCCCTTTGGAAACTACTGAATGAAGCTCCTGGCACACACACGCTGGGCTCAGCGGC